TGGTCGCTAAGAAAATTTATTTAAAAAATCCACTCTTAGTGGTCAGGTGATCTCTAAGAAAATTTAAAAACTCCACTCTTAGAGGTCAGGTGGTCTCTACGAAAATTTATTTAAAAAATCCACTCTTTGCGGTCAGGTGGTCTGTAAGAAAATTTATTTAAAAAAACCAAGCCTAGAGTTCAAGTGGTCTCTAAGAAAAAGGTATTTAAATAAACCACGCCTAGAGGTCAGGTGGTCTCTAAGAAAATTTATTTAAAAAAACAGGCCTAGAGGTCAGGTGGTCTCTAAGTAAATTTATTTAAAAAATCCACTCTTAGAGGTCAGGTGGTCTCTACCAAAATTTATTTAAAAAATCCCCTCTTAGAGGTCAGGTGGTCTCTAAGAAATTTTGTTTAAAAAATTCACTCCTAGAGGTCAGGTGGTCTCTAAGAAAAAGGTATTTAAAAAACCACGCCTAGAGGTCAGGTGGTGTCTAAGAAAATTTATTTAAAAAAATAACGCCTAGAGTTCAAGTGGTCTCTAAGAAAAAGGTATTTAAAAAACCACGCCTAGAGGTCAGGTGGTGTCAAAGAAAATGTATTTAAAAAAAGAACGCCTAGAGTTCAAGTGGTCTCTAAGAAAAGGGTATTTAAAAAAACCACGCCTAGAGGTCAGGTGGCGTCTAAGAAAACTTATATTAAAAACTCCACGTCTATATTGCTGGTGGCCTCTAAGAAAATTTATTAAAAAAATCCACGCCTAGAGGTCAGGTGGTCTCTAAGAAAATTTATTTAAAAAAATTCAGGCCTAGAGGTCAGGTGGTCTCTAAGAAAAAGTATTTAAAAAATCCACGCCTTGAGGTCAGGTGCTCTAAGAAAATTAATTTAAAAAATCTACTCATAGAAGTCAGGTGGTCTCTATGAGAAAGTATTTAAAAAAATCCACGCCTAGAGGTATTTAACAAACCACGCCTAGAGGTCTCTATGAAAATTTATTAAAAAAATCCACGCCTAGAGGTGGTCTCTAAGAAAATTTCTTTAAAAAATCAACGCCTAGAGGTCAGGTGGTCTCTAAGAACATTTGTGTAAAAAATCCAGTCCTACAGGTCAGGTGGTCTATAAGAAAATTTATTTAAAAAATTCACGCCCAGAGGTCAGGTGGTTTCTAAGAAAATTGTTTTAAAAATCCACGCCGTGAGGCCTCTAGGAAAAAATATCGACGACAATAACTCCTCGACGACAATCCTTAAATCACGCCTATATACCTCAGCTGTCCCTTACGAAAATTTGCTTTAACATTTATGAACACATCTTTCTATTTCCAGGCAAAAAAGGTCAACCCTTCCCCCTTGATGTGGAAGTAGTCGGATGTGAAGAAATGCCCTGTGACATTGTCAAGGGTACCACAATTGTTATGTATGTCCATTTCGTTGGAAGTAAGTACATAAATTTTCAAAAATTCTTGTCCATCCCTAACTAATCCCTTGTTTACCCTTTTTTTGTTCGCCATTTAGCCAAGGATAATATTCGTGAATTGAATGCTGTTGTCCATGCCACCACCTTGGGCATCACGGTACCCTACGAATTACCCAAAGAGGTGGCCAGTGTTTGTGATAATCTTATGTATGGTGCCATCTGTCCAATTGATAAGACAGAAGATGTCGTTTACAAGTTTAACTTCTATGTTGAATCTACATATCCTGAGATTCCTGTCAGTATCCAAATTTCTTTGATAGATGCCGAAGGCGATTCTATTGCCTGTTTTGTCTGCAACATTAAGGTGAAGAAGGGTGCCACAAAGCCTTTATTATTGGAATAATTTGACAACAATGGAATCTTTGTAAATAATTGTAGTTTTATTTCGTTTTACGACTGTGTATACTTTTGTTGAATAACAAAAATAATCCAAAAATAATTTAGGCTATTACAAAAGAAAAATAAAAATATATATGTAAATATATTTAGCCTAGATTCAGTGTGGCATTTGTTTGTAGGGATGTTTTTGTTTACTTTTTTAGGTAAGCCAGCTCAATTCCTTTCTTTTTGTTTTAAAAAATAAAAGCAACAAGATTTTTATTTTTAAAGTGGGTTATGGTCACATTGATTACTATCGGGAAAGGCAGAGAAGACTATAGTTACGGATTTCGCCACAAAATCCTCATCAGTTCTCTTAGTTTTTTGCTTGGGATAACAAATGCCACATATTAGTGGAGTTTTGACACATGGTTTCAAGTTCGGCCACAACATTTTCTGAGACTTTTAGAGAATTCTCTAGAGGTACTTTGGCTTGACGTTGAGAACGTTGGGGAAGAAGAGTTTTTTTGTTTAGTGGAGTGATACATGACTCCCTGGGACAATTTCCCAAGAAGTCCGAAACTATAGCCTTCTCTGCCTTTCCCGAAAATAATCAATGTGACCATAACCCAATATTAAAAATAAAAATTGTTTGGTTTTTATTTTTTAAAACAACAAGAAAGGGATTGAGCTGACTTACCTAAGAAAAAAAATATTTAGCCTTTGTTAAAAAACAATATTTAGGAATAACATTTCTATATTATGGATCCATATTGAATATAATTATTTTTTATTTATTTATTTTTTTGTGAAATTGCTTTTCGATTCGGGAATTGCTTTGTTTAACTTTTAACCACCATTACCTACGAATATCGGTGGTTGAAACTTTGTTAGCGAAGTGTTACCTGTAATGGTAATGCCGTATTTTTTGAGCACTGTATAACCATCGGCAAAGTTGCATTCTACAAGCGGCAGGGTTGCATTTTATATTCTTTTATAGTAATGTGATGGTTGTATTAACAAATAAGGAATTTTTTAAAGCCCCATAAACTAATCTATGCGTGGATTTTTTACAAATTTTTAAAACCTCTATAAATTTATCTAGGCGTTGATTTTTAAAGAATTTTTAAAGTCTCAATAAATGTATCTAGGCGTCAATTTTTAAAGACATTTTTGAGGCCTCCATAAACTTATCAAGGCATGGATTTTTAAAGACATTTTTGAAGCCTCCATAAACTTATCAAGGTGTGGATTTTTAAAGACATTTTTGAAGCCTCCATAAACTCATCTAGGGGTGGATTTTTAAAGGCATTTTTGAAGCCTCCATAAACTTATCAAGGCGTGGTTAAAGATTGGTTTAATGCCTCCATAAATGTATCTAGGCGTGGATTTTTAAAGACTGTTTTAAAGCCTCCATACTGGTTTTTAGGCGTGGATTTTCAAAGCCTGGTTTAAAGCCTCCATGAGTGTATCTAAGCGTGGATTTTTAAAGACTGTTTTAAAGCCTCCATACTGGTTTTTAGGCGTGGATTTTTAAAGACTGGTTTAAAGCCTCCATGAATGTCTCTAAGCGTGGATTTTTAAAAACTGTTTTAAAGCCTCCTTAAAGGTCTCTAAGCGTGGATGTTTAAAGACTGTTTTAAAGCCTCCACAAATATGTCTAAACGTGGATTTTTAAAGAGAGTTTTGAAGCCTCGATAAAAGTCTCTAGGCGTGGATTTTAAAAAGACTGTTTTAAAGCCTCCATTAAGGTCTCTAGGCGTGGAGTTTTAACGACTATTTTAAAGCCTCTATAAAGGGCTCTAGGCGTGGAGTTTTAATGACTATTTTAAAGCCTCCATAAAGGGCTCTAGGCGTGGGTTTTTAAAGAGTGTTTTAAAACCTCGATAAAAGTCTCTAGGCGTGGATTTTAAAAAAAGAGTGTTTTAAAACATCGATAAAAGTCTCTAGGCGTGGATTTTAAAAAGACTGTTTTAAAGCCTCCATTAAGGTCTCTAGGCGTGGAGTTTTAACGACTATTTTAAAGCCTCCATTAAGGTCTCTAGGCTTGAATTTTTAAAGACGGGTTTAAAACCTCCATAAAGGTCTCTAGGCGTGGATTTTTAAAGACAGTTTTAAAGCCTCCATAAATGTCTCTAGGCGTGGATTTTTAAAGACAGTTTTAAAGCCTCCATAAAGGTCTCTAGACTGTTTTAAAGCCTCCATAAAGGTCTCTAGGCATGGCACTTTTAAAGAGTTTTTATCCAGACATGTAGGGTTCCATTAGAACGATTTGGCTTTGGTTTCAATGTCATAGCCATACACACATGACTCGTCACCGGTTATGACATTTTTGACATAATCTAAATAGTTTATTTCTCTAAACCTATCTCCTCTCATATGAAGGCAATACATCCGTTTTCAAATGCCGAATATAAATAGAAACCCACGTATCTGTGACTAAAATTTTCTTCCGCATATTTTGTTTTATGACGAAAACAAACACCGATTACCGAAACATTAATCATAATTAGGACAAGGTTGGCTCATTGACATTGAAATCGTAAATTTTTTGGATATCTAGAGGTCATATATGTAATTAAGGACCCCATTCCAGCAACTAGAATAATGATATCATTATCTTATAAATTTGTGTTGAAATTCCAATTTCCCCCGTTCCTAGGGTATTAGAGGTATTACTAAATATAATACCATAGGTTTATCAAAATTTTCAATTATGGCTATTTTGAACACCTGTTCAATTATTTATAACAATAAATAGAAAAAAATCACTTCATTGACTTTCGCTGAAAACTATTTGTTTTGGTAATTAAATTCAAATACAAAAAATAGTTCTTCTTCTTCTTTGCTTATAAATTGACGTAGATTTGGAACTTTTATTTGAATTTTATTTGGAATTTTATTTCAAATTGTAAACAGTGGCTGGCGCGTTTTATCTTATCGCAGGACCAAAATATTTTGTTGCTAACATTTGTCTTGACTGAAACACCTGCAATCGATGACTGTTTGAATTATCGAACACCTGTGCAGATTATTAAATATTGATTTTCAATATTCCTACTAAGCCCACCAACAATATCAGGCGATAAGTTTTGATTAGGAAAAAGTGGCGCCCAATGACTTGTATATAAACATTGTTGAAGTTTTGGAAAGGAATAGTCTTATTTGAAATCGTTCGGAATAAATATTCGAGAAAATATTCGTTTAAAAAAATAATAAAAATTCAAAATGAAATTCGTTGCTCTTACCATAGTTGCGCTAATGATTGCCGGTATTGGTGCCACCGATGTTAAGCAATGTAAGTTGCAAGTGTCGATGTTTGAAGTGATTGAAATGAAAGTGAAAAAGTGAGCAGAACGTTTAATAAAAAATCCAAGCTGTGGTGGTCCTTAAAAAATGATTTTAAAAAGCACAGTTGGCCCTTAAGAAAAGATATTTAAAAAAACGGTCCTGCAATATAGGCTTGTTTTAAAAATCCCCACCTATAATGCTGGTGGTCCTTAAGAAAATTTATTAAAAAATCCACGCCTAGATATCAGGTGGTCCTTAAGAAAATTTATTTAAAAAATCCACGCCTAGATATCAGGTGGTCCTTAAGAAAATTTATTTAAAAAATCCACGCCTAGATATCAGGTGGTCCTTAAGAAAATTTATTTAAAAAATCCACGCCTAGATATCAGGTGGTCCTTAAGAAAATTTATTTAAAAAATCCACGCCTAGATATCAGGTGGTCCTTAAGAAAATATTCTTTAACATTTATAACCCCTTCTTTTTATTTCCAGGCAAAAAAGGACAACCCTTACCCCTTAGTGTGGAAGTAGTGGGATGTGAGAACATGCCTTGTGACGTTGTCAAGGGTACCACAGCCGTTATGTATGTCCATTTCGTTGGAAGTAAGTTGTCGACTTTTCATAAGTTCCCACCAATTAAATAATAATCCTTCTAATCCCTTTTTTCCTTTTTGTTCGCCATTTAGCCAAGGATAACATTCGTGAATTGAATGCCGTTGTCCATGCCACCACCTTGGGCATCACTGTGCCCTATGAATTACCCAAAGAGGTGGCCAGTGTTTGTGATAATCTTATGTATGGTGCCACCTGTCCCATCGATAAGACCGAAGATGTCGTCTACGCTTTTAACTTCTATGTTGAATCTTCATATCCTGAGATTTCCGTTGCTGTCCAAGTTTCTTTGGAAGATGCCGAAGGCGATTCTATTGCTTGCTTTGTCTGCAACATTAAGGTGAAGAAGGGTGCCACAAAACCTTTATTATTGGAATAATTTGATAAAATTGGAATCTTCGTAAATAATTGTAGTTTAATTTCGTTTTAAGACTGTTTATATTTTTGTTGAGAAAATAAATTAATCCTGCAGTGATTAGTTGAGGCTATTATAATGAAATAAGCAAATATATTTAGTTAGTCCATCATAAATAAATATATTTTGAAAAACTATGAACAGGTCTATTCATACTTGAATAATAGAATTTTTCTTTTTTGGGGGTTCAATTTTTCCTCGATCCGGAAATTGCTTAACCTGTAATCTCCATTACTTAGGAACGATATCAAAGGTTGAAGCTTGTTTAGCGAGGTATTACTTGTAATGATAGATAATGCAGTGCGTTCTCTGGTCGGCACTACCAGCGTTTTGCAGCATATTAAACGGTTGTTATTAGTACGGAAACAAACCCAATAGGTTGTAGGCTACACGCTATTATCCCAATATTAGTTTTCGAAATTCGAAACGAAGTTGAGAACCAACACGCGGCAAGGTTGCATTTTATACTTTTGTATAGTCATGTGATGGTCGTTTTAGGATATATTCATAACATAGGCGTGGATTTTTAAAGACATTTTTTGGGATTTTTAACATAGGCGTGGATTTTTAAAGATATTTTTAAATTCTCCATATAGGCATCTAGGTGTGGATTTTTAAAGACATTTTCAAGGTGTCCATATAGGCATATAGGCGTGGATTTTTAAAGACATTATTAAGGTCTACATATAGGAACATAGGCGAGGAATTAGAAAAAAAATTAAAGCCTCCATAAACGTATCTAGGCGTGGATTTTTAAAGACTGTTTTAAAGCCTCCATTAAAGGTATCTAGGCGTGGATTTTTAAAAACTGTTTTAAAGCCTCCATTAAAGGTATCTAGGCGTGGATTTTTTAAGACTGTTTTAAAGCCTCCATTAAAGGTATCTAGGCGTGGATTTTTAAAGTCTGTTTTAAAGCCTCCATTAAAAGTATCTAGGCATGGATTTTTAAAGACGGTTTTAAAGCCTCCATTAAAAGTATCTAGGCATGGATTTTTAAAGACGGTTTTAAAGCCTCCATTAAAAGTATCTAGGCATGGATTTTTAAAGACTGTTTTAAAGCATCCAAACCTGACACACCCCCAAAATTATAAAAAAGACACAATTGACACACCCACAAAATTTGAAAACACACTTGACACACCCCCAGTTTTGGAAAACAGTAAAAGTGTGTGTGTGTGTTTTTTTTTTTGTATCACTTGATCGTCCTTAAGTCAGTTTTAATTTGCGAAATGACATTTTAATTTCCACTATTTTTTTCAATATTAGAACAAAAGAGAAAGTTGCAAATAAGGTATGTGAAAGTAACAAAGAAAATATTCTCATCGAATGCCGAAACGTAACACAAACGCAACAACAACAATAAAACACATTACATTTCACATTAACAATTGCTAAGTAAAAAAAAACCCTAGCTAATTGATTCTACTAAGCCATTAAATTATGTTAGCCAATCAGACGATGACATTATTAGTCGGATTTTAATGCGAATGATAGTAAAAGTCAATTAAGAACGACTTAAATAATGAATTAAATAAACTCGAATATAGAACACAGAGCATTAAATGTTATATATATTTAAAAACAAATGACATCAAGAACATCGATCAGTAGTTCTAATCATATGACAGAGACACTATGGCAGGGAGTAGAAGGTTCGGAATTTATTTCATTATTGCGGCAATTGCGGGTGAGTAACACTTACGATTTTCTTATTAATTTGCAATTAAAATGTCACAAGGGTCAGGGTTCTATAAAATAGTGATGCGGAGTGGAATTTGTGGTCTAACGAGTCAATTTCGTGGTCAACGATTTTCGTCGCCAGAAGATGAAATTTTGCATATAAGTTGTTTCAACTTCTAGAGTGGCAAATTTGAACATATTTTTTCTAACCTTAAAAAAGAGGTGTGGATTTTTTAAAATACTTTTTTCAAGCCTCAACCATAAGCGTGGATTTTTTTAAATATTTTTTTCAAGCCTCAACAATAGGCGTGGATTTTTTTAAAATATTTTTTTTTCAAGCCTCAACAAGAGGCATGGATTTTTTTTAAAATACTTTTTTTCAAGCCTCAACCATAGGCGTGGATTTTTTTTAAATATTTTTTTCAAGCCTCAGCAAGAGGCATGGATTTTTTTTTAAATATTTTTTTCAAGCCTCAACAATAGGCGTGGAGTTTTTTCAAGCCTCAACAATAGGCGTGGATTTTTTCAAGCCTCAACAATAGGCGTGGATTTTTTTTAAATCATTTTTTAAGCCTCAACAATAGGCGTGGATTTTTTTCAAGCCTCAACAATAGGCGTGATTTTTAAAGATTGTTTTAAAGCCTCCATTAAAGGTATCTAGGCGTAGATTTTTAAAGACTGTTTTAAAGCCTCCATAAACTTATCTAGGCGTAGATTTTTAAAGACTGTTTTAAAGCCTCCATAAACTTATCTAGGCGTAGATTTTTAAAGACTGTTTTAAAGCCTCCATAAACTTATCTAGGCTATGATTTTTTAAGATTTTTTTTAAGCCTCCATAAACTTATCTAGGCTAGGATTTCTTAAGAATTTTATAAAGCCTCCATAAACTTATCTAGGCTTGGATTTTTAAGAACTTTTTAAAGCCTCCATAAACTTATCTAGTCTAGGATTTTTTAAGAATTTTTTAAAGCCTCCATAAACTTATCTATGCTTGGATTTTTTTAATAATTTTTTAAAGCCTCCATAAACCTATCTAGGCTTGGATTTTTTGAGAATTTTTTGAAGCCTCCATAAACTTATCTAGGCTTGTATTTTTAAAGAATTTTTTAAAGCCTTTAAAGAATTTTTCAAGCCTCAACAATAGGCGTGGATTTTTTTAAATCATTTTTTCAAGCCTCAACAATAGGTGTGGATTTTTTTAAAATATTTTTTTCAAGCCTCAACAATAGGCGTGGATTTTTTTTAAATATTTTTTTCAAGCCTCAACAATAGGCGTGGATTTTTTTAAATATTTTTTTCAAGCCTCAACAATAGGCGTGGATTTTTTTTAAATATTTTTTTCAAGCCTCAACAATAGGCGTGGATTTTTTTAAAATATTTTTTTCAAGCCTCAACAATAGGCGTGGATTTTTTTTAAAATATTTTTTTCAAGCCTCAACAATAGGCGTGGATTTTTTTAAAATATTTTTTTCAAGCCTCAACAATAGGCGTGGATTTTTTTAAAATATTTTTTTTCAAGCCTCAACAATAGGCGTGGATTTTTTTAAAATATTTTTTTCAAGCCTCAACAATAGGCGTGGATTTTTTTAAAATCATTTTTTCAAGCCTCAACAATAGGCGTGGATTTTGTTCAAGCCTCAACAATAGGCGTGATTTTTAAAGACTGCTTTAAAGCCATTAAAGGTACCTAGGCGTGGATTTTTAAAGACTGTTTTAAAGCCTCCATAAACTTATCTAGGCTTGGACTTTTTAAGAATTCTTTAAAGCCTCCATAAACTTATCTAGGCTAGGATTTTTTAAGATTTTTTTAAGCCTCCATAAACTTATCTAGGCTAGGATTTCTTAAGAATTTTATAAAGCCTCCATAAACTTATCTAGGCTTGGATTTTTTAAGAATTTTTTAAAGCCTCCATAAACTTATCTAGGCTTGGATTTTTTAAGAATTTTTTAAAGCCTCCATAAACTTATCTAGGCTTGGATTTTTTAAGAATTTTTTAAAGCCTCGATAAACTTATCTAGGCTTGGATTTTTAAAGAATTTTTCAAATAATTTTTTTAAATATTTTTTTCAAGCCTCAACAATAGGCGTGGACTTTTTAAAATATTTTTTCAAGCCTCAACAATAGGCGTGGATTTTTTAAATATTTTTTTTTCAAGCCTCGTAGTCTCCTGTCCGCAAACTTAGTTATTTGTGGTATTTTGAATGTTCACCCCATGGGGGAGGTTATAAAAAGTTCGGGACACCCGAACTTAACAAATTGTTTATTTGTTTTGTTTTCTTATTTTATTCAAAAAATCCGACGTCAGGAGTTTCCCCCCCGCTAACATTTATATGTATTTATGTATGTATTTAAATTATCCGGATTTACTGCTGCCTCACATCATTTGCAACTCACATTAAAACTATGCTAATATCTGTTCAAAATTTTGTCACTTTCTCAGGTCAATTTGAATGGGAAAACAATAAAAGAAATCACGTTTTGCTATTTGAAATCTTTATTCAAATATGCATAAATATTCATTATAAAAAGACGTACATGCCTACATATATTTCTTGAAAAGGCATTATATAACCTATTTTTTTTCTTTTCTGAATTGTTAAATATTTGATTACCAGCGTCATAGACCTCATTGATAGTTTAACGCATAATTTATAATTTATGAAAAATAAACTGTATCCCAATCCCGGCCACAGCCTATTCGGTGAACAAGTAACAAGTCAATTTACATTAAAATGTGATCTAATTCGCATAAGTCGTTTACGGATTATATTAACAAACATTTTCAACTTTGACTTGAAGATTTTCTATAAAAACAAAAAATGCAGCATCGTTTCGTTTCAGTTTTAAAAGTATTGAGCTAAATAACGGTTTATAGTAAGATTTTTCGAAAAAATTGTCTGTTTTGGTTCGATAACCATGGTGTCGCACAGTACCATACTAAAGAAAATATATTTGTTATTGCCGTTCGCATATCCTAATCTTAATCAAAACGGTAATAAAGTGTTTGATATTACTTACAATAAATATATAAAAATAAAAATTATATATTAATTGTGTCAGGTGTAAAATAATAATAAGAATAATATTATTAAACAAGGAAAAACGTCATTAAGGCCGGGGCGAACATTCTATACCCTCAACCAAAAGGTGTACATTTCAAATACCTGTAAAGATTTGTTACCTACTGTAGATTCAAAATATCATATTACTCCCGTTTGATTGAAAAACGTGCCCAAAATCCCCAAATATCCAAGAAAACAGACCAATGCTGATCAATTTTGGTAGGGAGATCTGCTACCCATTGAGAATTAAAATTTCGAAATAATAGTTAATTCTGTTGAAAATCGTGCCCAAAAACCTTATGATTGAGAAGTATAACAAGTCAAATTGTCGTAAAGTTCAGCAACGTCGAAGTACCCTCCACCAAGTTGTGTAAATTTTGGTTAGATTGACAAGAGGAGTGGTTTACTCCAACCCCTATTTTGCGCTCTAGAATTGAAGTACAGTTAGAAAACAATATCTTAGGATTTGGTCTCCCTAGGCTTCTAAGAATTCTGCGTTCTTAGTGAAGTCCTACAGTCCATTTTTAATTCACATCCCTTAGATCGACTATTTCATGAATAGTATTATTCCCCACAAATTGAGTTCGAAGGCTTGCAAAAGTTGCACCTGAGCCAGACATTCAATTTCAGGCCTTTCCAAGCTGGCCACAAGCTGAGCGCTCTCTTGGTTCTGCTCTCTATAAAGACTTCCCACTTCTTCACCAACAGTGTTGTTTTTCTTTAAGCATGCGGTTTGTCTTAAATTTGCTGCGTCAATCTCAGGCGAAAACTGCCCCAGATTTACAATTGAGCTGAGCCTACCAGAAGCTGAGCGTCCTCTTCTTGGTGCTCCCTATGAAACACGACCAAAAGCTGAGCGCCAGCTTCGTTCTATCTTGTGTCTTGTTTTGCATGCCGGAATCTCCAATCATATGCTATGTAATGAATTCGCTGCGACAACCTCAGACGAAAACCAGATTTGCCATTTAAAGACCTATCACAAGCTAAGCGGCATTTTCTTTGTGCTCCCTATGGAGGACTTTCCACTTCCAAAGAATAGGATTCGAAGGCTTGCAAAAGCTGCACCTGAGCTAGATTTGCCATTGTAAGACCTACCACAAGCTGAACGTGGTCTTCGTTCTGCTCCCTATGAAAGACTTTCCACTGCCTCTTGCTCTGGATACCGAAGAGTTCAAGTATGTGTTCGAGACGTGATTTATCTACACGAAACTCATACGAAGACTGATCCAGACTTGCTATTGAAAGGCCGACCACAAGCTGAGTGACCACTTCTTTCTGTTCCCTATGAAGGATTACCACCTCCCAAGAATTGGGTTCGAAGGCTAGGCAAACGTGGGCCTGAACAAGATTTGCCATTGAGGACCTTTCCAAGGCTGCCACAAGCTGAGCGCCCTCTTCGCTAAGGTCCCTATGAAAAATTTCCCACATTTTCTCCAGCAGTGTCTTGTTCTGTATGCCGAAGACTTCGATCATTGAAGTTTCAAACGTGAATTCTCTGCACGAAACTCATACGAAGACTGATCCGGACTTGCTATTGAAAGGCCTACCACAAGCGGAGCGCTCACTTCGTTCTACTACCTATGAAGGATTTACCACCTCCCAAGAATTGGCTTCGAAGGCTTGGCAAACGTGGACCTGAAACAGATTTACCATTGATGACCTTTCCAAGGCTGCCACAAGCTGAGCGCCCTCTTCGCTCAGGTCCCTATGAAAAACTTCTCACATTTTCTCCAGCTCCTGTATACCGAAGAGTTCGAGTATGTGTTCAGATACGAAACTCATACGAAGACTGATCCAGACTTGCTATGGAAAGGCCTAACACAAGCGGAGCGCTCACTTCGTTCCACTCCCCATAAAGGATTTACCACCTCCCAAGAATTGGGTTCGAAGGCTTGGCAAACGTGGACCTGAACCAGATTTGCCATTGAGGACCTTTTCAAGGCTGCCACAAGCTGAGCGCCCTCTTCACTCTGGTTCCTATGAAAAACATCCCACATTTTCTCCAGCAGTGTCTTGTTCTGTATACCGAAGACTTCGAACATGCGTTCAGACATGAATTCTCTGCACGAAACTCATACGAAGACTGAGCCACACTTGCTATTGAAAGGCCTAAAACAAGCCGAGCACCCACTTCGTTTTACTCCCTATGAAGGACTTACCACCTTCCAAGGTCCACCTTGGTCAGGTCCACCTTTGGCAAGGAGAATTGCTATTAAGGACATTCCCAAGCCTACCACAGTCTGCTCCCTATGAAATGCTTCCCACTTCTTCAACAGCAATGTCTTTTTCTGTATGCCAAAGATTTCATGCACACGCTCTGTCGTGAATTCGCTGTGCCAACTTCAGATGAATACCGAAGACTGAACCAGATTTGCTATTGAAAGGCATACCACAAGCTAAGCGCCGTCTTCACTTCCCAAAAATTGGGTTGTGAAGACTTACAAAAGCTGAACTGACCCAAATTTACCGTTACAAACTTACCACAAGCTGAGCGCCCTATTCGTTTGTGATCTCTATGGGAGACTTTCCACTTCTTCGTGTTCTGTCAAGAATTCACTGCCCCAACCTCAGGCGAAGACCTTTGCATTTGAGGAATGCCTATTTTTAGTTTCATTGCCTAGATTATGGAGACTATTTTCCTAAGAGTAATCTCCCTTGATTTCGAAGTTGTACAAATCCAATTTTTCAACAAGCTCCGGATCCATAACATCCTATTGGTCCTTTTTTTAATTTACTAGTTGTACTTTTTTCGCCGATCACCCCATAGCAGAGTTCTTCTCTACAGCGTCTCCTGATGACATTTACAAAAGACGGCGGCTCCTTACCTTCAATGAAGTGAAGGGATGGTCGGGGATATCCGTCTGAGCATCAGTTTGCTGTTCGCAATTGTTATTACGTTTCGGTACCGATGGATGTATTTGGGTATAGCCAATGGTTTTTGAGGTGCGTGGTCCGACGGGCTGGATATTCGTGAGAGTGTCTGGCCACTGTCCGGAGTGTGTGATACCTCAGTGGTTACGGTCACTGTCCTGTGTGGATGTGTTGGGAAGTTGTGTTGTTGGATGTGTGTGTGGAATGTTCGCGATGGCATTCTGATGTTTGTTTGAGAGTTTGTCTGCGCCTTTGGGTTTACTAGTCCCGGATCATGGATCGAAACTAGTAGAATTACCATTTCCGAAATTTCTATGTCTGTGAAATGATGGTGAGTGGGAATGGGAGCAAGTGCAGAAATTGGCATCGAGAGGTTTTGGTTTTGGATCTGTTTTTTCTTCTCATTTGTCGTGTTTTCTTCTACCAATATCGTAAGCTGTTGGTGGACATTTTTTTACCCTTTCAACGATTGTTCCATTGTAGAGAGTCAGCAAATATTATTTCTAATGGTAGTAGCTTTGGCTAGTCTGTGGGTGACCAGCCTCTAACTGTTTGGCGTTCTACTGGTAATAGCTTCGGCTATGAACCTTACCGAAGGTGTCTGTAGCACGAGTGTCAGGACCCTTAGATCTACGAATCTTGCCTGTTGGCCTGGTGCTGGTGGTGGTTTATACTCAAACGGCGGATAGAGCTTCGCCTTGTTGTGGAGTTGTATTACAAACGGGTGCCTGATCTATAGAAAGGCAGGAGTTTTATATGGAATCCGATCCTCATCCGAGGAAGCGTGTGATCGATTGGTACCTGCATTTTGCTGTGGGGGCGTTGGTTGACACTTTGTATTAATTGGTGTTTGTAGCTCCGTGGGGTAAGACCGCAATATAGGTGCCCACGTACTCTAAGTCTATATGTTCCTACGTTTTATTTTAGCCAGTTTCCTCCTTTGTTCCCTGAATAGCTGTTTTTTCATTATTTGACGACTCAAATGCAAGTATTAGGTAATCCCCTTTGAATTCGCAGCTGTCCAAATTGATAGGTTCCGTTTCGTGCAACTGGTGCTCCATGATCTTATTATTGACCGCATCTATCACCTCTTATTACCATCACTATTTTCATCGGTCACTACACGGCAGAGCTCTTCTAGATATTAGGTTTTTTTCAACGAAATTGACTATAAGCTGTATCAATTGTTCAATAAAGTTTTGGGATAAATCCCACATAACGGTACCTTCAAAATTTGCATTTTTGGTAGTTTGGTCCCATATTTTCGCCAAAATTTCCACTGAAGTTCCTGTAATTTCGCATTATGGCTTTTTGAAGAACATTTTCGGTATCGATCCATGACATAAGTCCTATATTCGATATTTATCCCGTTTTCGATATTTTCACGGTTCAGCCGCATTTCCCACCAAAATATATGTATGTTGATATTCCGAGGAATCAAAAGGAATCCCTATATGTCCATGATTTAATATAAGCTCCATATGTAGGTCCCGGCCCATGTTTAGCATTTTTAAGGTTTTACACTGTAAATTGACATTTCAAGTTCAATCAGAACATATCGAAGTGGCTTTCAGTGTGCAAAGTTTTAATTATATGTTCAAGATTCTCAATTTCCTCTAAGCTGAAGATTACAGCCCACTTTTCCAACCTGAGTGTCTGTTCAACACCTTTAATTAAAATCTACACCTCATGTTATAAGGTATAGGGGCTATTACCTTTTTATAGTACAAGCCTTAGATTTAATAATTGGGCTTCTTTCAATTAGGCGCCATTCGTATTATTTATAAATGAATAGTTGAATTAAAGCCATACTATTTTTTTAATTTCCCAAAAAACTGAGGGCATAACTAATCAAAATTAAAATTTATTCATTTTAGGACAATCTGGTACCTCAGATGCTGAATGGTCATATGCCGATACGAATTGGGGTACAAATTATCCACAATGTAACGGTAATCGGCAATCACCAATACACATACAGTCACAAAATGTAAGTCGCATGAATTTGTATCTATTTTTTATGTTTGTATGCATAAATTATATGAGAGTTGATTTATGTTGTGTTACTTTTTTATTACAAATTCATCAATTTCATATAAAAACAAAAATAGACTCGTAATTTTATGACTTTTTTTTTTGGTAGAAAGTCATAAATTATTTAAATATTTATTAGATGAAGGTCAAGGTGGTTATGGTGATACTCTAAACGATGAAATGATTACTTTTTATATTTTATGGGTAACTAATTAGAAAATAAAATCGGATACACTCCAAAAAAATAAAAATAAAAAAAAAACACAATGGAGATGATGCCGAAAGATAGGGAAATAAAATGTTACGATTGATGGCTTTCTTTATGATTTTTAACATATATTTATTAAATATATAACATTGCTATAAGCGTGAGTTTTTTTAGAGAAATTTTCTAAAGGATCACATGACCAATAGGCGTGGATTTTTAAAAGAAATTTTCTAAAGGATCACATGACCAATAGGCGTGGATTTTTAAAAGAAATTTTCTAAAGGATCACATGACCAATAGGCGTGGATTTTTAAAAGAAATTTTCTAAAGGATCACATGACCAATAGGCGTGGATTTTTAAAAGAAATTTTCTAAAGGATCACATGACCAATAGGCGTGGATTTTTAAAAGAAATTTTCTAAAGGATCACATGACCAATAGGCGTGGATTTTTTAAATAAATTTTCTAAAGGTCCACATGACCAATAGGCGTGGATTTTTAAAAGAAATTTTCTAAAGGATCACATGACCAATAGGCGTGGATTTTTTAAAGAAATTTTCTAAAGGATCACATGACCAATAGGCGTGGATTTTTAAAAGAAATTTTCTAAAGGATCACATGACCAATAGGCGTGGATTTTTAAAAGAAATTTTCTAAAGGATCACATGACCAATAGGCGTGGATTTTTAAAAGAAATTTTCTAAATGATCACATGACCAATAGGCGTGGATTTTTAATTTTCTAAAGGATCACATGACCAATAGGCGTGGATTTTTAAAAGAAATTTTCTAAAGGATCACATGACCAATAGGGGTGGATTTTTAAAAGAAATTTTCTAAAGGATCACATGACCAATAGGCGTGGATTTTTTAAAGAAATTTTCTAAAGGATCACATGACCAATAGGCGTGGATTTTTAAAAGAAATTTTCTAAAGGATCACATGACCAATAGGCGTGGATTTTTAAAATAAATTTTCTAAAGGATCACATGACCAATAGGCGTGGATTTTTTAAAGAAATTTTCTAAAGGATCACATGACCAATAGGCGTGGATTTTTTAAAGAAATTTTTTTTCAAGCCTTATAAGAGGCGTGGATTTTTTAAAGAAATTTTTTTTTTCAATCCTTATAAGAGGCGTGGATTTTTTAAAGAATATTTTTTCAAGCACCCCATGACCAATAGGCGTGGATTTTTAAAGAATATTTTTTCAAGCACCCGTGGATTTTTAAAGAATATTTTTTCAAGCACCCAATGACCAATAGGCGTGGATTTTTAAAGAATGTTTTTTCAAGCACCCCATGACCAATAGGCGTGGATTTTTAAAAGAAATTTTCTAAAGGATCACATGACCAATAGGCGTGGATTTTTAAAAGAAATTTTCTAAAGGATCACATGACCAATAGGCGTGGATTTTTAAAATAAATTTTCTAAAGGATCACATGACCAATAGGCGTGGATTTTTAAAAGAAATTTTCTAAAGGATCACATGACCAATAGGCGTGGATTTTTAAAAGAAATTTTCTAAAGGATCACATGACCAATAGGCGTGGATTTTTAAAAGAAATTTTCTAAAGGATCACATGACCAATAGGCGTGGATTTTTAAAAGAAATTTTCTAAAGGATCACATGACCAATAGGCGTGGATTTTTAAAAGAAATTTTCTAAAGGATCACATGACCAATAGGCGTGGATTTTTAAAAGAAATTTTCTAAAGGATCACATGACCAATAGGCGTGGATTTTTAAAAGAAATTTTCTAAAGGATCACATGACCAATAGGCGTGGATTTTTAAAAGAAATTTTCTAAAGGATCACATGACCAATAGGCGTGGATTTTTAAAAGAAATTTTCTAAAGGATCACATGACCAATAGGCGTGGATTTTTAAAAGAAATTTTCTAAAGGATCACATGACCAATAGGCGTGGATTTTTAAAAGAAATTTTCTAAAGGATCACATGACCAATAGGCGTGGATTTTTAAAAGAAATTTTCTAAAGGATCACATGACCAATAGGCGTGGAATTTTAAAACAAATTTTCTAAAGGATCACATTACCAATAGGCGTGGATTTTTAAAAGAAATTTTCTAAAGGATCACATTACCAATAGGCGTGGATTTTTAAAAGAAATTTTCTAAAGGATCACATGACCAATAGGCGTGGATTTTTAAAAGAAATTTTCTAAAGGATCACATGACCAATAGGCGTGGATTTTTAAAAGAAATTTTCTAAAGGATCACATGACCAATAGGCGTGGATTTTTAAAAGAAATTTTCTAAAGGATCACATGACCAATAGGCGTGGATTTTTAAAAGAAATTTTCTAAAGGATCACATGACCAATAGGCGTGGATTTTTAAAAGAAATTTTCTAAAGGATCACATGACCAATAGGCGTGGATTTTTAAAAGAAATTTTCTAAAGGATCACATGACCAATAGGCGTGGATTTTTAAAAGAAATTTTCTAAAGGATCACATGACCAATAGGCGTGGATTTTTAAAAGAAATTTTCTAAAGGATCACATGACCAATAGGCGTGGATTTTTAAAAGAAATTTTCTAAAGGATCACATGACCAATAGGCGTGGATTTTTAAAATAAATTTTTTTAATGGACCAGTAGAACCAATAGGCGTGGATTTTTAAAATAAATTTTTTTAATGGACCAGTAGAACCAATAGGCGTGGATTTTTAAAATAAATTTTTTTAATGGACCAGTAGAACCAATAGGCGTGGATTTTTAAAATAATTTTTTTTAATGGACCAGTAGAACCAATAGGCGTGGATTTTTAAAATAAATTTTTTTAATGGACCAGTAGAACCAATAGGCGTGGATTTTTAAAATAAATTTTTTAATGGACCAGTAGAACCAATAGGCGTGGATTTTTAAAATAAATTTTTTTAATGGACCAGTAAAACCAATAGGCGTGGATTTTTAAAATAAATTTTTTTAATGGACCAGTAAAACCAATAGGCGTGGATTTTTAAAATAAATTTGGATTTTTAAAAGAAATTTTCTAAAGGATCACATGACCAATAGGCGTGGATTTTTAAAATAAATTTTTTTAATGGACCAGTAAAACCAATAGGCGTGGATTTTTAAAATATTTTTTTTAATGGACCAGTTGGATTTTTAAAATAAATTTGGATTTTTAAAAGAAATTTTCTAAAGGATCACATGACCAATAGGCGTGGATTTTTAAAAGAAATTTTCTAAAGGTTCACATGACCAATAGGCGTGGATTTTTAAAAGAAATTTTCTAAAGGTTCACATGACCAATAGGCGTGGATTTTTAAAAGAAATTTTCTAAAGGTCCACATGACCAATAGGCGTGGATTTTTAAAAGAAATTTTCTAAAGGTTCACATGACCAATAGGCGTGGATTTTTAAAATAATTTTTTTTAATGGACCAGTAGAACCAATAGGCGTTGATTTTTAAAATAAATTTTTTTAATGGACCAGTAGAACCAATAGGCGTGGATTTTTAAAATAAATTTTTTTAATGGACCAGTAAAACCAATAGGCGTGAATTTTTAAAATAAATTTTTTTAATGGACCAGTAGAACCAATAGGCGTGGATTTTTAAAATAAATTTTTTTAATGGACCAGTAGAACCAATAGGCGTGGATTTTTAAAATAAATTTTTTTAATGGACCAGTAAAACCAATAGGCGTGGATTTTTAAAATAAATTTTTTTAATGGACCAGTAGAACCAATAGGCGTGGATTTTTAAAAGAAATTTTCTAAAGGATCACATGACCAATAGGCGTGGATTTTTAAAAGACATTTTCTAAAGGATCACATGACCAATAGGCGTGGATTTTTAAAAGAAATTTTCTAAAGGTTCACATGACCAATAGGCGTGGATTTTTAAAAGAAATTTTCTAAAGGTTCACATGACCAATAGGCGTGGATTTTTAAAAGAAATTTTCTAAAGGTTCACATGACCAATAGGCGTGGATTTTTAAAAGAAATTTTCTAAAGGTTCACATGACCAATAGGCGTGGATTTTTAAAAGAAATTTTCTAAAGGTTCACATGACCAATAGGCGTGGATTTTTAAAAGAAATTTTCTAAAGGTTCACATGACCAATAGGCGTGGATTTTTAAAAGAAATTTTCTAAAGGTTAATATCTAATATAATATATATTTTTATTGCAGACATACCTATTGCCAACAAAGCCATTAAGGTTTAAAAATTACGATATACCTCTGCTGGGTCCCATTGAGCTCACTAATAATGGTCACTCAGGTGAGCGTCATATACATTATATACATTAATATAAATATTTAATAATTTTGAAAATCTTATTTCCAGTTGAATTTTCCGTAACCGAAACAGTAGATGGTCGCATACCCACTATTACTGGTGGCATTCTGAAAGGAACCTACGAGGCGGTGGGTGTACATTTCCACTGGGGTGGTCCCGGCAGCAAAGGTTCCGAACATATTATTGATGGCCGGCAATTTGATGTTGAAATGCATATTGTCCATAGGAAAACTACCTTCGCCACTATGGAAGAAGCCACCCAGTCGCCATATGGAATTGTAGTTTTGGGTGTGATGTTCAAGGCGGTTCAGGTAGGTTGCGCAGATATTTTAAATTTACAATTTAAAGAATTACATTAAGAATTATTCGAAAAAATGCAATATTAAAAATTTAACACAAATTTGGATTGAATACCGCAGCGATTTCTATACAATACCTGCGTAGCTCCAAAAAGTATATATTTTAAAGCATACTTTTAGGCATTTCTCATACAAACTCAAACCATATACAATTTTATTGTAATATTTATATCTAAAAATGTATTTTCTTTCTCCCCAGAATCCCGATCGTTATTATCCCGGCTTGAATAGAATCTTCAATAAATTATTGAATGTCGAAACCTACGGCTCATCGACATTCCTTGATGGTTCAATATCATTGGGTCAATTATTGGGTGATTTAAATACGAAAAATTTCTTCACCTATAAAGGTTCGTTGACAACGCCCGGCTGTTCGGAGGCTGTATTGTGGCATGTCTTCCCCGACCCTATGCCAATTGCTCAAGAACATGTAGAGAAATTTTGGACTCTAACCGATTCAAATGGTCAACCGTTGACAAATAACTTTAGACCAACACAAGACTTAAATGGTCGTAAGATCTTTTATCGGGTAGGATTTAAAGCAATTTAATAAGTTAAATGAGATTTAGTGCATTATGTGTTCATAAGTTATTTATTTAAAATATTTATTTATTATTAAAATTAGATAAAAAAATAATATATTTATTTATTATTTTATAAAAAAAATGGATTTAAATTAAAATATACAAATTGAAAAAGCAAAATGCAATATAAATGTAGTTAAGTTCGAGCGGACCCGATTTCCTAAAAAAGTCGCGACCTTTGCATGGAGTCTTCTAAATGTAAATTGTCTGTTTGTAAGGTTTTTATTTGGGAACATGAAATGCCAAATTACAGACACTCAGGTTGGTGAACTGGGCTGCGTATCGTAAATAAAACAGGGCAATTTTATGAGAGATGTGTAAATACATGGACCTGTATTGAAAACGTTATTAATATAATGTCAATTTACAATCCCTTCGGAGTGTTCAATATACCGAAAAAGGGTTGGGCTTTTCCTTCCATGGTGGCTGTGACAATAGATGGACCTACTAAGAAAATCTCCTGAAAATAGGTATTCCTTCTACGAAAATCCGGAATGCCAAATTTCAAACACTTCAATATGCCGAAAATGGGTCGAAGACCCATAACGAAAATTTTCGACAACGATGTTTTTTACCATTCAAGATCTCGATATGCCAAATTACAATCACTTCGAAATACGAAATGCCGTATTTGGAGAGATTGAAACTGGACCTTCCTGGGGAAAACTTTATTACACAAAGGCAGTCAAGCCTGTAACCCCCACGTTACCCACCGTTCATCTGAGGGCGAAGTTCTATTGTATAGAAAAAAGTTTAGACCTATGTTTATTAAAAACAAGTATGGAAAGTAGTAAAGTCGGAAGGGGCCGACTATATGATACCCTTCACCACTTTGGGTATATTCAACAGGTGAATCCTAACAGACGTCCAATTTTTTAAGGACCATTAATATGAAAATGGATCCATATTATGTTCATAAATCGGGAGAAAATATATATAGGAGCTCTATCCAAATCTGAATCGATTTTCACGAAACTTAACACACATAATTCTAGACCTAATTACGATATACCAAATTTCGTGCAAATTGAAAGATATATAGGGACTTTGGTGCACCATTTACCTTAAATCGGACGAAAATATATATGGGAGCTATATCTAAATCTGAACCGATTTTCTCGAAAATTGGCACACATTATTCTGGAACTAATTCAGTGCGCTATGCCAAATTTCGTGCAAATCGAAACTTATATAGGGGCTTTGATGTCCCATTTACCTTAAATCGGACGAAAGTATATATGGGAGCTATATCTAATCTGGACCGATTTTCAGGAAACTTAACACACATCATTCTACATCTAATTCATTACGCTGTGCCAAATTTCGTGCAAATCGAAAGATATAGAGGGTATTTGGTGGACCATTTACATTAAATCGGACGAAAATATATATGGGAGCTATATTTAAATCTGGGCCGATTTTCAAGAAACTTAACATTATCAATAGCTGTCCTCTTTTTGGATGGTCTAGGTCTGGTAAAGATAAATAGTTGTGCAAATTTTGGTTTGATCTGTATGGTCCAAGCCAGTCCTTTTGGTATATTTCAGCGAAATGGGGGAGGTACCAGAAGGAGTGCTCGCTTGCCGACAAATATCGTCCGCACCAGCCTTCCAAAGAGACAGACATAGTCTGAAACGGATTTGGGTATTTCGATATTTCATGAAACAAATTTTTGATGTACCAAAGTATCCATCCTTATTAGGCATAAGGCTACGGGTATAAAAAGTTCATACCTATATACCTATACCTGTTCATACCTACCTATTGAAAAAAGTTCTAATAGACGTATGAAAAGACTGTAGGGGGGACTGGGGATCATTCGGCACTTTTTTAGAGTTCTATATCTCAGTACTTATTATATAGATATAAGAACTTTATTGCTGGTTATTGTCCTCTTATACCTAATTATAAAAAGTAGTATTAAAAACATATCATAGTTTTGTAAAAAAAATCAAATTCGCCGAATGTGCCCCTGCCCGGGGAAGTTTCGGCATTTGATGGGGCATATTCGGCACCATAGTCATATCCTGGTAATTATCACCGCATTCAGTCTGGTTGAAACTCAGATCCTCTAAAGGTTGAATAAGAAGCTGCCTTCAATAGATAGAAGGATGTCCTTCCTGTCCTGGATAAAGGCTGTCCTCCTATTGATGGATAAAAATCTGCATTTCTATGGATACAAGTGTGCCCTTCTATGGATGGAAGGCTGTCCATCTATAATTACGATGCTATCCATCTATGAATAGGAGACTGTCCTGGATAAAGGCTGTCCTTCTATTGATCAATAAAAAACTGTCCTTCTATGGATAAAAGGATATCCTTCAATGGATGGAAAACTGTCTTTCTATGAATAGGATACTATCCTTCAATGGATAAAAATGGTCTTCTATTGATAGAAGGTTGCCCATCTATGAATAAGAGGCTGCCTTCAATCTATACAATCTTCTATCTATAAAATGATGACCTTCTATGGATGTATAAAGAGCTGTCCTGTATTTGGGGCCATTGTGTCAAAAATTACATTTTTTGAATAAAAAAAACTGTTTCGGGATAGCCCGGTCATCTTTGACACTCCTGTTCGATTCATGTCAAGCATTTTTTGGGGTAGCGAAATGTGATCCAAAATTGGTAAATTGTGACCATGGGTCGTCAACGACCCAGATCCAGATTGACTCAAAAAGATCATAACTGATGACTAATTAAAGGTGTATGGCTATGACATTGAAATCAAAACTCGCCTAATTATACCAAGAACCAAAATCGACAACTTGAATTCGGTCAAATGTTAAAGTTTTGCTATTCACCGGACTTGGCCCCACTGACTTTGTCATCTTCCCAAAACTACTATAAAAACATCGTTTTTCAATAATTGAGAAGATGAAGGAAGAACCGAAAGAAGAGCTGTTAGCTATACTAAAAAGCGCATTTCAGAATTGTTTCGATGAATGAAAAAACACTGGCATTGGTGTATTATATCGAACGATAAAAGGGACTAATTGTTATTTTTAGATTTTTTTACTGTCTTCAAAGTTTTCACTATGGTATATAACTTCTTACAAACGAGCAGTAAAAGGATTTATGTGTGAAGCCTTTCAAAATACAGCTTTCTTAAATATCGGAAAATTGTGTTCAGCATCGAGCCTAATGTTTTGACTCAATTGGTACGTTTACAAGCAGACATGTCGATTTTGGAATGAAGATCATCCAGAAGCATTGCAAAAGCTACCAAAGCCATAGTTTTTGCATTTCATGGGCTTTTCTGGACCGTACTTTTAACATAGGCGTACAAACCTTTGTGTTTAGGGTTTAGGATTATCGATTCGAATAAAGTTTCATGATTTTGTTAAATTTGAGTGGTTTCCTATGAAAAATTTTCTTATCTATATGAGTGACCGAAGCGGCTGAAGATAGAAGCTTGAAATTTTGAGTGTGCGTTGTTGTTGGTGTGTAGGCGTGAGATAAGGCTGGGTTGTTGGAAATTCGAACTAGAAGGGTGCGAAATGTACTAAAATGTTCCAAATATGGTACCCTTTGTATTAGGCGAACGCGAAGAGCTAGAATTCTGAAATTTGGAATGTGGGTCACTAATGGAAAGTTAGAAAGCTGTACAAAAGGGTTTTTGGAAATTCGACCTATAAGTGTACTAAAAGTACTAAATTTAGTTCTAATTGTACATATATTAAACATATAAAGCTAAAATCTTGAAATTTTGTATGGAATACAGGCTGGGAAGTGGTGTTGATGTATGGAAATGGTTTAAGAATTTCGTACTTATGTGTACGAAAAGTACTAAATGGTACTAAATTTAGTACTATTTGAGTGTATATAGATGGAATCCTGAAAATCGGAATTAGTACTACTGTTGGAATACAGGATTGAGGTAGCTTTACAAAATCGTACTTTTGTGTACGAAAAGTACTTAATGGTACAAAATTTGGTGCAAGTTGGATTTCGGTTCACAGATAGAGCTGGAGTCTTCAAATTTGGGAATTAAAATGACTGTTGCAGAGTAGAATTGAGGTAGTTTTGGAAATTCGTACTTATTGGTACGAAAAGTACTAAATCGTACTAAATATAGTACAATTTGGATTTTGCTTAAACGGATGAGCTTAAAACCTGAAATTTGGAATTCCGACTACTTTTGAAGATTGAGCTATAGAGACATCTGTGGGAATTCGTATTTGTGTGTTCGAAAAGTACTAAACGGCACTAGATATGGTACAATTTGGGTGATTTGGGTGAACGGAGAGATAGAAATAAAAAGTACTAAACGGTACTAATGGATAGGGTTGGAATCCTAAAATTTTGAATTAATTTGTCATTATGTGTACTAAATGGTACTAAATTTGGTACAGTTTAGATCAAGCTAAATGGATAGATATGAAAAATTTGAATTTGGAATGCAAATCACAGGATTAAGGTAGTATTGGAATTTCGTACTTTTGGATACGAGAATCACTAAATGGTACTAAATAGGGTGCAATTCATTTTGTGTGAGCGGGAATCCTAAAATTTGAGGGTGGAGTGTAAGATTGAGATATGGAGGTAGTCATTGAATTTATTATATTATTATGTGTACTAAATGGTACTAAATATGGTACAATTTGGATTTATGTGAACCGATAGGGCTGGGATCCTGGTACAATTTTGGAGTTTGGTGAACGGGTAGAATTTTAATCCCCATGTAGATTTGATATAGTTTGGCATATGGGTACGAAAAGTACAGAATGGTACCAAATCTGGTACAGTTTGGTTTTTGATGAACAGTCAGAGCTGGAATTCTTAAATTTTGACTTACGATTACTATTTGAAATCAGGATTGAGGTATGTTTGGAAAAGTACGAAAAGTACTAAATTTGGACTTTGGTGGAATTAAGATTACTGTTGGAGAGTAAGATTGATGTAGTTTTAGAAATCCTTACTTGTGA